ATTTTAAATTTGTTTAAATTAAAAAAAAAACAAAAGACCAAAATAATGTAATTATTTGCACAATAAAAATAGCAATTGGATATTGAGAAAGGTTTTAAACATTTATTGAATTAATATTGAACAATAAACCAAGAATTTTTTTTAAAAGATATGTGTTTCACACGAGCCCTTATGATTGCAACTACTTGTCTTCTTATCTTCTCTTTTAACGATATTGTTGATCATTGTTTGAGGTAGATTCTCTTGTATGTCAATTAGAATAATTGTGACTATCCAAAAATACCTGATTATACTCAATGATTAAAAAAAAACATATATATTATTAAAGTCTTTTGTATGCTGTACAGCAAAATACAAGTTATAACACAGTATTAACTCTTTTTTTAAAGTGTGATTATCAATATATTATCCATTTGGAACAATCTGGAAACAAATTGTTGAACCATGAACCATTCATTATAATTTACACAATACAATATTATATCACTCAGATACAAATTTTTAAGGACATGATAACAAAATGGAATATTTTTTAATGTTGAATTTTTAATAAAACGGATTTTAATTAAAAGAAAAATATTCATTTAGAAAAATTGTCTAAAGGATAATTATACTACACATAAAATTAAAAAAAAATTGGTGCATACTAGGCTGTACTGTAGACTTAACGGGAAGCTTTATACTATGTTTTCTGTATTTTTATTATTTATTTATTATTTTTATGAATTTTTTATAGATTTTAATGAAATTGAAAAAGTTTACATGTTGTATAACGGACTAGCCTTGTCGAGGAAATGGACTGTTCAAACTGTTAGTGTGTCATGGCAATTCTTCTGTGACGCTTGCCTCAACCAATTACTATAGAGAAAAAGTAATATAAGTCAGTATAGAAGCTTCGCTTCAATAATAGCATTAATCACAGTTAGCAATAGAAAAATAGCTTTAAATAAAAAAAATTTGTTTCTAAATTAAAAATATATGAACAGTATTTATATATTATTGTTATTATTGGTTATACATAAAAAGGACTAATCTGTAATAATTTTTTTCTTGATTTTCTTGTTGTTCTCTTGTGATATAAGTTCCCAGGTTTAAAGACTTCTGGTTGTCAAAATTCTTATGTTAATAAATTAGTTTCACATCCTTTCTTACAAAAAAAACAACCATTACAAACTAGCTGTTTTCTTCCAATTCTTCTCTTACAATAACCATTATCATCTAGTTCATGTGGCTTATTATTAATAAAGTATTTAACAATTTGTAGTGAAGACAAAGATCACAAATCAGTGTCTAAATGCAGAAACTGGCAAGTCACATGTTTTCAGCAACTGAGATTTACACAACCATTGAGAGGTTAGGCATCATTACTTGTAGGAGATATTTTTTTTTTGTTACTTGTTTACTATACAAATAATATTTAAAAATTTTTATTCAAATTGATGATGTCAATTGATTTTCATAACACCGATTCGTTGTTCCTTTGTGTACATGTATCATAATAATACCCATTTAAAAAAATTGATTTTCAAAAATAACTATACTTTATTTATCTATCTTAATTATATATTTACAGGAAGTTTTTGTTATTTATATTACTAACCTAATCTGCTTGTTTACAATAAACAGTAATTTGTGATGAAAAGACAGATTGGTGTATATATACTATGTCAGGGACGAAAATTCCAGGGAACCTATAAAAATCATATGAACAAGTTTTGCTGAGAATGTCAATTTTAAGACCCCAAAAAGATGCAAAAAAGTTTGCCACTCCTACCTCTAAGAAGGTGCCTAAAACCCTCCCTCGAAAGGGAAAACAGAAAACATTGATGAAAACAAAAATATTGTAGAACAACACTCGAAGCTACCTGCGATTTTAAATGTCAGTCTACAGTTATAAGATTTATACAACTGGCTATAAAATTTGAGTCCCCCGGGCATAGAAAAAGTTAAAGTAATAATTTTTACAGTTATAGAACATTCATACATTCTACAAGAAAAAGTTTTTGGCCATATAGTTAAATGGGATAAAGTGTACAGGTCATAGAGTCAATACCCTGTTCTTGACTAGAAAATCAAGATTCGGCTTGTTATGAAGCCACCAGCCCAATGGCATTTTAAATTTCAAATGTCAAAGTGCATAATAATTTCAAAAACTCCAAATGACATTGCACTTAGATGAGAGTTTCTATAAATAAAAACAATCTCAGTACCAACAAACCTTTGCCAAGAAGAGGACAGAAACTGCATATGAAACCTACAGCTGTGGAGGTAGGTTTACCATTAAAACCAGATGAAGTCTATAAAACAATATAAGTAAACGAATTGAAAAGAACTACAGCAACTCTTGGCAAAATGATTAAACATATCCTTTTTCAAGACAGCCTTTGCTGTTGCTTAACATATCAAGATGGTTTAAGGAGGAAGCAGACAACAAAAAAATTTGCAACCACACTTACATTATATTATTGCTCTATGTCTTTGACCACATGTATTTTTGTTTAATAAAAATATCAAAAATGTTTTTCTAATTGTTATCATTTTAAGCAAGATTTTGTGGTCAAAATATGACATATCCAAAACTATACCATGCAAAATTCTGATGTAATAGATTTATGAGACTACATATTGTGAAGAAATAGCCAAACAAAAATAATATACTGATGTAGGTTACTTCAAAGAAAGCTTTTTCAGACATACTTCAAATTAGATTTAATGGACATGTCAGATTTTGCATTTAGATGACTGAAATGAGAGTAGCCAGTAATGAAGTAGCTCTTAGAATATAGCTACAATGTGGATCAAATTATGATAAATTTTATCATCTTTACTGTTGTAAGTACATAGATTAGTTTATTTTTATACTAAGTAAAACTAAGACAATATAATTTATAGCAAAAGATAAGTGCTAAAATGACATATTAAAAAAATAATGATGAAGGAAGGAGTTTCCTGCATGTGAAAATGATACGGATTATGTAAAATGGAGCAACAACTGGTGTAAGAATTTATGTAGAAGGGAGTGATAAATTTCATATGGGAGAACAATTGCATTAGGGTTCAATGCTAAAACAGCATGAATTCTCATTACTGCTAGATCAGGTAACAAGAAAATAGGAAGGGAGCATCATTTACTGAAGAGGAACAATAGTGGAACAGTAGAGAGTTTTTTGAAGAAAAAGGACTGAAACTTTTCTAGGCACAACCTAAATATCTGGAATGTTCAATTGGGAGATGAAATTACTACTAAAACTAAAATAGTAACTTCAGTGAACTGATTTTTTTAAAGTAATTGTTCAGTATACATATATGAGTGGTATTATAGAAAAATAGATGTAAAATGAAAAATAAATGGAAATGCTTGTAGTAGAATTAAAGCAGGATTAACAAAATAAAAGGGATGTAGTTGTGTATTGTTTTGACTGATACCTGAAAGCTAAATACTAAAAGAGGTCTATCAGACCAGTTATTATGTGCAACACTGAATATTTGGTCATTTAACAAGAATAAATAATGCATATTACAATAATGATAATGCTTCATGGTAAAAAACAAAACTAGACTAAGAGCTGCAAGTAGAAAATAAATGGAAACTATTGTTTACAATAAAATGTCAACTGGAGTAGTTTGTGCATATTAATAAAAACAAAAGGAAGTGCAGGTTACCCCAATATATTACCAAAGAAAATATTACCATTATAGAGAGATCCAACAGTGATAAAATTCTTTTATTTGTTTTGTAGAATGAACAAAGTTCACATTACACTGATGATTTCCAACATCCAAAATGCATATGGCACATCAAAACGGTGTAACACAAATTAATGCCAAATGAGTAAGCATAGGTTAAGACTGATGGAGAGAAATCATAATCACTTAATTGAACAAAGCACCTCTGAAAATTAAGTTCATTTGGGGAGTAGGAGTAGGATGTAATATTTAAGATATAAACACAATATGGTGAAATGAAGTCTATGCCTAATGATTAGGAAAATTATCAAGAAAATCAAGTATATGGTAAAAAAGTTATTTTTGACTGAATTATTAAAAACAGTGTAAATGTTTAAGAATTTGGTCTTCTTATAAGTTGGTACACACAAAAGATGTTTCAGATCACAGTGTCAAAGTCTTGTACAGCAAAGACCTCTTTAAAATCTACAAGTCACATAGTTATTCTGTCTGCATGTTTCTCCTTTTTAAAAATGTACTAGTGTCAAGTAATTCGTTTGACTATACAGTGCATTTTGTCATCAATATAATTACATATCACTACAAATCCCAGATTGGTACAGCTCAAATATTAGAGACAGGGACTGTGATAATGTTGGCAACAATAATAAAAATGTTTACCATAAATATTTATTATTACAGTTAGTCATTGGGAAAATGTGACTTCAGCAGTATTAAAAGACAGTCTTATAATATTATATAGAAAAGAAAATAATTAACATTATTGATTTGGAGAGCTTTGTCTCAGTAAATACTGAGATAGTCAATTAAGAGATGGTTAAAAAAGGCATTAAGTAACAATTGCATATGGCTGTTGGCAATTAAAAAAAATTTTAATTCATTTGATATTTTAACTGCAATTACATAGCAGCATTAAATGAATTGAGTAAAAGTGGTAATATGTCTTACGATCACAATTTTCCATTACTTGCATTATTTGTGGAATTAAATCCAAATCAGTGATTCCATAAACATTAATGCTAAATTAATTACATGAAGAAATTATTTCCACTTCTACAACTTTATCAATAGTAAATCATGCTGATGGCACCAAACCTTAATGATTAAATGTTATTTTTTATTCTTAAAGTACTAGGTTCCAAGGTACTTTTAGTTGAAATCCATACAGCTGAAGGTTGTAGAGTTGAATCACATTTTCAAGGTCACTACATTGTTTTCAAAACAAAGAATTACAAAAATTAAAAATAATTGTTTGGTATTTAATAAAATTGTTTTAAAGATACTTTTGGTGACCTCCAGCCAATGTCACTTACCTGAAGCTTCGTTGTTGTAATGTGGAAGGTTGTTCCTGGCCCCTGGACTCAGCTGGGGGTTCTTTGGGTAGCTATGCAAGTGATTTGGCTCTTTAGGACTGCCATTAGGAGCAACAAGACATTCACTAAAATACATATTTGAAGAAAATTAGATTTAAAAAAGCAGTTGACTTCAAGGACTCACCGTCTATTAAAATTAGTTTCATACTCTCTATTATATTCCTTGGGGTATCTGCCTGGCCATTTTTGGTGGTTATGAGGATGGTTAATTGGATGGTTAGAGCGATTTGGATGATTGTTGTTGTGTCTGTTGAAATTAGAAGAGTTTCTGCGATGTGGGTTGTGGTTATTGGAATTCATTATCCTACCTAAAACGCAAACATAGTCTAATAATAACTACAAGCCACTACCCAAATATTTGTACTCACGCTATTTCCACGATAATACTCCTTAGAATAATGACGAATAATAAAATTATTCGACGAACTCTATCACCATTCAAACAATCACTAATTATTGAGCAAGAGGGGAAACAGTCATTTCACTATTGTATATCATGCTATTGATCCAAAGGCATTTCACAATTTCTACGAGAAAAAACACACAATTCTTACTTCTATTATTGCTATAACTATTTAGGATGAGATAAACACTTAAATAAATGTAAATTTTTAACTATATAATCGAAAAATTAGAGACGTAGGGAACCACTATTTTTTCCTTTTATTTATCTTGTGCTTATCTCAGCAGTGTTGCCACACTAACTGTTGTCTTTTGTCGATTTTTACTGGTGACGCCACGCCCGCCAAATTTAAAACGCAGGACTCACCCAAAATAACTTTTAATTTTTTATTTTCAGCTTATTTCGTTAGCTTTAAGATTTGAAATGTGAAAATACTTATTTATACATAATGTTAGAGCAGATGTATATCTAATACATAATATATATTATAATACATATTATTTATACAAATATGACGTCATTGATTTAATAAATTGTATAAATAGCCAATTGTATAATATGTAATATAAATTAAAATTGTGTATCTTCTAATAACTTCTTTGCTGTAGAGTTATGTCTGTATAGTAAACGTACTAATATGGACAAACGTTATTAAAACATAATTAAATTGAGACCATTGTTCTGATCTGATAAATTATTCTTCAATCTTTTAAAATGTCTCCCCACTTCGAAGTTCGAAGTTCGAAGTGTCAAGTGCCAGATTTTTAAATTTGAAGGTTCTAACGGAATCAGCTTTTTCTGCATAGGATCAAGAAAATAATTTTTAACTCTAAAGATGTCTTCTAACAAAGAAAATAGAATTAACAAGCAAGTAGAACAATATGTATCAAAATTAAAAATACCCAAACAAATAGATCTAGAAATGCGACACTTAGTTAAGTGTATGATATCCCATGATGCTTTTGGAAATCGAAAGTAAGTTATAATTAAAATACTTCATACAATTTTTCATTCACTTTAAATATTTAAGTTACAAATGGTCACTAAATGATTTCGAACTTGGAGGAAGACTCGGCAGAGGAAAATTTGGTAGAGTGTATATTGCAAGAGAAAAAAAAACTGGATTCGTTGTGGCTTTAAAGACGCTCTTTAAAAAAGAAATTGTCAAAGGACGAGTTGAGCGACAAACGTTACGAGAAATTGAGATACAGAGTCATTTGAAGTAAGTTTATAGTAGGTTTTATGCAATACTGTCTTTTAAAACAAATACTTTTCAGGCACCCAAATATTCTACAAATGCTAGCCTGGTTCCATGATTCACATAGAATATATCTTGTATTAGAGTATGCTGGGAAAGGAGAACTCTATAAACATCTAAAATCTAGTGAAGGAGGCAGATTTAATGAATATTTGTAAGTGAGAAAATTCAGTTAATAATTTGGTAAACACTTTGCAAACCCTATATCAAAGAGTATAGAGGCATATGCTTCTATATTCTTTGCCTGTATATTTAGTGATAATTTATCACTATATTTACTTATGATGGTGTATATCACAGCAAATATGAAATTACTACTAGTGTTACTGAATATTATAAAATAAATATTGAAATTTTACATAGATATATTATAATATAAAGTTTTGGTGATAATTATTAGGATTTTTTCAGATCTGCCAAGTATGTGTATCAAGTGGCAGATGCACTTCACTATTGTCATCAAAATAATGTTATTCACCGAGATATCAAACCAGAGAATCTCTTATTAACAATTACAGGAGATGTTAAGCTTGCTGATTTTGGATGGTCTGTTCATGCACCTTCTTTAAACAGGGAGACAATGTGTGGTACTTTGGACTACCTGCCACCAGAGATGGTTGGGGGACAATCATACAAACATTATGTAGACCATTGGTGTTTAGGTAAGTTTTGACTTTTTTGCTTAGTTTTTCTTGAATTTAAAGTAGTTAAATGCCAGTATACATATAACACTGTATGTGAGCTGACACTCACAGCTCTTAAGTTTTGTTTATTAGTAGTAAGATTTAAATTAAGGCTGTTTTATTGGTGCACCAAAACCTAGGAACTGTTATTTACCCACAAAATGCCTCGAAATTTGGACACAATATTCTAAACTATGTTGCTTTTAAAATGATGGTTTTACTTTTTTTATTTTTTTGTTACTTCTGTTAAAAAATTGGATTGTACTGTTTAACCTTCTATTATAACCAAACTTTTTACGCCCATCGCTTGAAAGAGGTTTTTTTTCTGTAATTGTTGATTTTTTTTTTCACCTTTCTGCGTCCAGTTCTAATCGAGAAAAGCGTGTTCAAACTTTAAAGAAAATTGCTAAAAAATACTAAAATCTAATAGTGAAACGTGTTGCTCATCATTGTCGCTAGGTTCACTGTTATCGCCTTCGTGACTTCAAATCTCATGAGCGTACGGTCAGTTAGTTGATGTTAAAACTAATTTGAATGGAGAGTAATGGATTTGTTGCCCGTTGGCCGACGCCACTGAGTCACGTAAGCAGTGTAGAAATGTAAGTGATACGCCCATTTCAAATCGCAGTGTGCTTGAACTGCTAAAACAGCCTTAACAGTCTTGTATGTATGTATTAGTCAGGTTAAACCTCATTTTACTATGGTTTATACATAGTTCTGTGCTAAAATCTGAAGTGATTTATTTAAAATAGTTAATCTGCTGTATTTGTTAATTTGTATCTTAACTTTTCTGATGATATGTTAGAGCTATCATGACAGAGTTGTTGTAAAGCTGACAAACAAGTGGTAGCTATTGATGTTGAACTCTTGTGCTTTTTTAATAATTTAGCATAACATGAAGATCTGGTTAATGTTAAAGAACCTGCCTGATATTCTTCTGGATATTATGTTTTGGAGGAAGTCTTTAATCTTGTATACAAGGCATTTGTTAATATTTTGTAGTGGTGTTAAGGTATTGTCAAATATGATATTCCTTGATACATATTCCTTTTCAGTTGGTTTCCCTTTTTTGTTGGAATTTTACAAACTATTCTATACTATGCATGATACTGACTATCTGTTGTCTGTTAGGATTAAATTAGTGGCTGGGGATTTGTAGGTTTTTAGTCTTTTTTTGACCCTACAGTAGACTCGCGATTATCTGAGCTAATTGGGACCGCACATACCTCAGATACTGAAAAACTCGGATAACCCAGAAATCGTCGGGGGGTTGCTTAAAATAATCAAACAATTTAAAAGTTATGACGTATATAATTCGTTTATTATGTACAGTTGAAGTATGTTAACCTGTATGTGAGTACATAGTTAAAATATATAGACAGGAAAACAATTACGTACTGGATCATCTTCATGTTTTAAAAAGGTCTTTGATAGATTTCTGTGTCAGCTTCTGACCTCGTTTTGAAGCAGCGACGTTTTGCCCACGCTGAAGATGAAGGACCTCGGAAACGTTTGACTCTTCCTGTTGCTGATTGTAGGCAAGGGCAGTTCCAATCGCCTTCAATCCTACGGAGTGATATATTTTCTTGATTATCTCATATGTGTCATCCGGAGTGACATTGTGTGGGTTGATAGTCATTGTTATCTATTCCATAACTTTTCGTTTCAATTTGAAAAATCTTCCGCCATGACTTTTGCAAAGTTGTTACTCTCACATCATTCCATGCTGAAGCTCTCCAGTAACACATCCTTAACGGTAATCTTTTAAAGGTCTGCTGTGCCAGTCATTCCCTCATCCAAGCTGGTCAACAACACTTGGAGAAGCCTTCCACGATAGTTCCGGTTCATAGCTTCGAAAATTCCTTGGTAGAGACGTTGAGTGAGAGATGTGACATTTGGTGGCAAAAAAATAGCTTTAGTGTCTTTAGTATCAATGCTAGCCAACGAACTTGCATCTGGATGAGATTTTCTTAGTTCACCATCGAAATAGTTCAAATGAACGATTCTTTCAACTGGTTCAAATGAACGGGTAGAATTACATTTTTATTTATTACTTTTTCTATGTATCTTTCAGCATTGAGATATTTGAGATTGATAGCAGAGTGTTTCATCCTTAAATGTCTTGATAAATTGCCCAGTGAACCACTTGCAATACTAATGTCACATGAAGAGTAATTACATTTTGCAGATTTTTGATTTTTATCGTTTTTCTCGAAATGATCCCATAAAAAACTTCTATTTCGTCTGTTACTCATTGTTTGGGATTGATTAGGAAAATAAATTATTATAAAGAAAAACTAACTAATCATATAATAATTTAAAACATTTAAACCTAAACATACGATTGAAAGAAATGGTTCCGAATCCGAACTACTTGTACGCCGTACGGTAGTGAAAGACTTACTGAAAACCTAAGAAAACAGGCGGCCGGCGCCGAATTTGTGTGATGATTGAGACGAGATATCTGCAACCAGTTATGTTAGGGTTGGATTTCGTTTCGGTCCTACAAATAGTTATTTCGCGAACTAGTTCACTGAACTAGTTCATTTTTGTGAAATAGTTCTCTTGAACTAGTTCGTCTAAAAGAACTAATAAGCACACCTCTACTACACATTAAATGAGTTACTCGTTCTTTGTTTTTTTTTGTATCCACGCGCAGTTTTCTTACTTTGAGTTGCAAGTGTTTTGGTTCAAAGCATTCTGAAATATTGAGATCCGTTTCGTCACTGAAGATTTGGTCTGACGTGAGATCATGCTCTTAAATGAGATCTCTCAATTTTAAATTAAACGGCTCAATTTCAGATGAATCGACCGAAACTGTTTCACCCTTAAGATTCAGTTGTCGGATGCCATACCTCTCCTTCCATCTGTCGAGCCAACCATCATTTGCAGTAAAATTTTCCTCGTCATCCTTAAACCGTTTGTGAAATTCGACAGCCTTGGCTTAAAGCATGGGGCCGCTATTTGGACTTCCCAATCCTGGAAGATTAAAAAACTAAAAATTAGGCTTCAGAGGTCTGTTCGTATTCTCCTTTCTTCATAGATTTCCGCAATAAACAAAGAAAGTACAACTCGTTTACATTTTAAACTTATATTGCACTTTAAGTTACGTAGAAGCTACACAAAGAGAAGACATGAATGAACCCTGTAAGAGCTTACAGTGGGACTAACAGAACATCTATAGCTGTTATGACTCAAACTGACGGGTGGAGAATTGGCTGGTGAGGCGGCCAGTAGAAGCACAGTGGCTAGAACAATAACACTAATGACTCATCTCTTCAGCATATCAACAACCAGTGCAACGCTTTTACTTGATATCACTCTTAAGCTAATTTATTACATAATTTGTTTTTTTTTCAATTACTACCTCGGTTAATCCAGAGGCTCGGTTAATCGAGACCCGGATAATCGCGAGTCTACTGTATTTACTTTTTTTATCTTATGTGATGGTTTCTATAACCTATTCCATATTTCAGATCTCTAGGGTTGTATTGTTAACAGGTTCCCTTTCAGTGATTTCTAGAAGTATTCAGCCCATCACATAAGGATATTTAATATGTTAGTTCTTGATTTAAATTTCTTTTGAATAATACTCATCTGGCATTATAAAATTGGTTTATATTTGACTCATATTATATCCAAGCCATTCTGAAATGTTATTTTATGACTTGCATCCCTTTTTCCTGTTCAAATCTTAATTAATCCACAATGACAAATTCTTTTTATGCATTATTTTTATGTACAGTATACCCAATGTATTTTTGGGTACTGATTGTAAAGGTTCCTTGTAGTTTTCCACATTTCTGTACCTGATTGATCAACTATCAAGGTTTGTTGTAGAGTTTTTTACAAGACTGTAAAACTGTTTCTCTATGTTTTTGTTTTTCAGGATATATAAATTGTATTTTATCTACTTGGTGCTTTCTCATTTTTTGACATTAGAAATTCTCTAAAAGCAATCTTACAACTGGCTGAAGAGTGTCAAGTCAAGATTTACACCTTTGTAACTTCTGATGTCCATTAGAATTGTGAAATCTCTCTTGTCAATTAGGATATAATTGATTTTCATAGTTTAAAACATCTATTCCACAGTTTTGTAACTGATCTTAGAGCAGCTCAGTTCTGCTGTCCTAAAGAAAGTTCTTACACTCTAACTCTTTTCCTTTATTCTTTATCCAGACTTAGGACCGGCAGCAGCGGGAACTGGTGAACCCAGTGAACCCAGCGGGGCCTTATTGAATGGTTAACGTTTCCATGTTAAACATGCTCGAACCATCTTTACCTATGGTCTCTCATTTTGATGTCAATTGTTGCCACCCCTAATTGGTTTCGCTGAGAATTTTCAGCATTCTCAATTACGCCACATGCATTTGTTGTTCCTATTTCTTTTTAACTTTCTTTACATCAGTTCCATACATCACAGCTGGTCTTATGGCAGTTTTGTAGATTTTTTCCTTTTCCTTTATTCTTTATCCAGACTTAGGACCGGCAGCAGCGGTAACTGGTGAACCCAGTGAACCCAGCTGGGACTTATTGAATGGGTAACGTTTCCATGTTAAACATGCTCGAACCATCTTTACCTATGGTCTCTCATTTTGATATAAAATGTTGCCACCCCTAATTGGTTTCGCTGAGAATTTTCACTATTCAGCATTCTCAATTACGCCACATGCATTTGTTGTTCCTGTTTCTTTTTAACTTTCTTGACATCAGTTTCATACATCACAGCTGGTTTTATGGCAGTTTTGTAGATTTTTTTTAGTTTTGCCACCTTCTGCATGAATTTTTATCTATTTCTCAGGTAAGTTCAAGATCAAATTTCTTTTATTTGGAATATTACACCACTTGATTTTTTATGTTCCTCTCCAATATTTTGTTTGTTTTTTAAGTTGATGCCCAACACAAGCACTAAAGGTGTTGGCTCACTGTCTCATTGCCTTCATATATATCTTCTATTGTATGTAAAAACTTGACTTTATCTCTTCTGAACAATGTGTCAATGATCGCCATATCTAAAAATGCTGCTAATTTTAACATATCATCTCTAGCTTCATTTCTAGTTCCAATATGTATCTTAATTGATTATAAAAAGCTTCTTGTTTATTTTTACCTAGGCTGATTTGAAGAGCATACACACACCCACACACAATACTTGTATCTTTATTAAGTACAAATTTCACTGTCATTATTTGATCACTCATTCTTACAATTTCTACTATGTTATCCTTTATTTCTCTATCAGCAATTATACCAACTCCATTCCTAGTGTTACTTTTCCCTACATACCACAATCTGCATTCTTCATATGGTTCTTTCCCTATGTCCTTTCTACGTTGTCTCTCGAAGGCAAGGAATTTGTACTCTCCTTCTTTTAAGAGCACCTAAAAATTCCATACTCTTATCCACTGTAATAATTCCAAAATTCCAATGCGCCCAATTGAGTGGATAGTTAGGAGGTGAATTTATGCTAGTGGATCGACTTCTCAAACTAGAGCTACCGAATTGCTGCTTTCCTGTCAACATGGGATTGATTACCAGATCGAATTTTTCAGGAGAACACTTGGATTTAATATCGATTATCGTGTTAGAGTGTGGGGAATCAGTTATGGCATGAGGATGCATTTCTTTTGATGCTCGGGCGGAAGTAGTCTTTGTCGAGAATGGAAAGATGACTGAGGTTTTAGAAAACCACGTTTTACCATTAATGGTTATTCTTGATTAGCAGAAGGAAGACAAACATAGGTCTCCAAAAATTCTAGGTAGCTCTGATGCAGGAATAGTACACAATATTCTGCAGAATGTGATGCAAAGTCTGATTCAAAGCATGCCTTGCCTTGCAAGCTATTACCACTGCTAAAGAAAGGAAGAAATACTCGTTAACTGAAGTCCTTAAAATTTTCAAATTGTTTATTGTTATGACTTAATACAGTAAAATAAAAAAAAACGGGTGTGGCAGTCCAGTGGGACTGCCGGTAGAAGTTATACTTCTATACACGCGTTCGCCGTTACAAATTTATATGGGAGTCAATCTGCACAATAATTACATATGTAATGCTGTAGGTAAGAGAGAGCAAAAAGAGAAAAAGAAGTTTAGTATATAGGTATATTGTGCATAGTTTGCTGTATATAAACATTTGACCTATAATAGGAGTATAGTATATAAATGAAGGATTGTATCAATATTTTAATGAAAATATATATTTTTATTTTCATATATGTATAAAAGGAGTTAAATGCAAAAAAAAATTTTACACATACTCTGCAGTAAAATTCATTGTTTATTTTGTTATTAATATAAAAATTACAATACAATACAATACACTGCAACATAATACAATACAAATTAAAATGCAATACTCATAAGTATTTAAAACTGCCAATGTACATAACTTACTTTACGAAGATAAAAATAAAAAACCAACAACTCGGATTATGTTGTAAATTTCCATTTTATTTTAATATTTAGCATTTTTGCGTATATTACATATATTTATTAAGATTAACGTGAAGTTTTTAAATATGTCAAAAATAAAAAAGGAAATTCATATTTTGATTCGAACTCACATGCCAAAATTGACAGTTGTCGGTCATACAATGATTATTTTGAAATACAAACGCCTAAAATAATTATGAATATTTAATAAATAATACAAATCATATCACATAAGTAATAATAATAATATATATATATATATATATAATATATATATATATATATATTAAATATTACACAAAAGGAACATTTTTATTATCGAGAGAGGAAGAGAGAGAAAATATATCTCTGTGTCTCTATTACTCATAGTTTATGGCTTCACAGATTCACTCTGTGTGAAACACACAAATGTGTGTGAAAATACAAATTTCCAACGTCGAGCGCGCGTATAGAAGTATAACTTCAAAAAAGTAGAATTTATCATTTTCATATCAAAGTAAAACTGTTCATTTTGAATGCTTTCAATGAATGTTAAACACCCAAAAGTGTTTTTGCAAGCACCCACTAAACTATTTTAGTTTAATGTTAATTTCAAATTAAGAAAGTAATTTCAAATTATGTGGTTCCTTAGTTTTATGTTGGACAGTTTACTACCATGACTTGATCTACATTATAAATAATTCGCATGTATTAAGTATCATTTTTTAGGTATTCTATGTTATGAATTTTTGGTTGGAAATCCACCTTTTGAAAGTAAGGAACAAGAAGAAACATATAAAAAAATTAAAAAGGGTTATGTGTACTATCCAGAATATATTTCTGCAGGAGCCAAAGATTTGATATCAAAGGTATTTATTTGTATTTATATTTTACAGCTTCATCAGTTATTACTTTATAAAATAAATTTGCTTTCTACTATAATTGTAATGAAGTTTATGAAAATTGTTAGTGACCATTGTTTAAATTAGAGTAACAATCTAGGGTCTAGAAGGCTTTTATCTTTTTTTTTATAAAATAACATTTTAGAAGTTCTTATGGGATAAAATCATTTATATTGTTTTTAAGGGATTGACGAAATTTGTGTTTAGTAATTTTTCAACTATACCACACCTTCGGGTTGGTGATTGCCTTCAACTTTTTTCTTCTATTATAAACAACATTATATGGCTATAGCTATATGGCTAACTAATAAATTTGTTTTAAGTGTTTACCATTCCCTTTACAATGGTCATTATTTATCACCAATCTATGAAATCTGACAGCAGTGTAGCAAGTTACATTTATGTTTTTTTAGCTTCTGGTACATAGAAGTGATCATCGTCTTTCACTTCCGGATGTTATGCGTCATCCGTGGATTTTAGAACACAAAGAAAAGAATTCTTCATCATAAGTTTTTAGTAATATCGGTTTTAGTCAATGGTTTTACTTTTTAGTTTATGTATTTTATTATTCAGTAGTTTTTAATTGAATGTACTACCTATATTGTAGAATTTATGCTGCCAATTATACAACACATTATTTTTGATCTGTGTTTTAATATTACCTACAAAATAAACATAAATATTGAAAAATTAATAGTAAATAGTATACTACTTATTAACAAGTACTAATACCACTTACTTACTAATTTCGTAATGGGGGAAGTAAAATATGTAGTAATAGTGCTGTTACTAGAAAGTACTACTCCTTATATATATATATATATATATATATATATATATATATATATATATATATATATATATATATATATGCTATACACAAGCACACTTTGTCAAAACTATGAATTACTACTTTGAAGATCCTGCAATTGTTACCCAATTTGATGCGCAGCAAAATTACCGGAAATATTTTAGTTGGAGAAATAAACCCGATCTGTGAACACTCGCCGAATACTTTCTTTGTGTGCTCTCTGAGCCGACGCGACGGGCAACATTTGAAAAGTCATCCCTGGTCTTGATGAATTGTAGCTTCTTGACTTTCAAGACCTTTTACGCCGGACCGGTTCTAGAGTTTTGGGCATCCCGGATAAAACAAAATTTGGCGCCTGTGCATGCAAAAATATAAAAATTTACTGCAAATTAAAAAAATGACAAAAAAATCAACATTACATAATAAAGAACTATGAAAATTTTTTTATTTAAAAATAATACAAAAGTGTGTTATTTTGAAGCTATTTTTGAAATAAGCCACAATTGAAGTTAGTGAAGCGAAACTTATTTTAAGTTTCACTTCAATTTCCACTTCGGAAATCGTTCTCAAAATACAACCATTAATAAATTAAACAAATTTTGTTTTTTGTTACTTGGTAAAAAATTCTAATAGTAATTTAATTTTATCTGACTCATTCATTTTGACAATTGACATATATTATACATTTTAAGACGAGTTTAAAACGATATTGCCAATACTGCTGAGTTGCGTTCCTGGAATGACTTTATTGTAAGATAGTTCATTCGATTACATGAAATCAACTTTAACTTGAGATATCCGTCAGAAAAAGTTATAGCATGTGATTCGTCTTTAAAAAGACAACCATATGCCATGATGACAGTCAAATTCTCCTGTTAGTAATTCCATAGTAAATGATGATGAAAAAAACCTCATAATACTTTCCCGACATTATAAGTATTTGTATATAAATATACAATAAACACCAAATTCTGAATTTTATATGTATGTTATTTAAAAAACATAAATTTCCTCTTTCAATCTGGATAACCAGATCCTATTGCCTTCTGCCGAAGAATTTGCAGCACAATTGGTCTATTTAGCATAATCATAGCCGCTTCTTTGATTTTTCTCTTTTTACTATCTGTTTCTTTTAGGGCTATACTTGAATCGTTTCTTTGAACCCCATGTTCGTTTCCCCATTGGTGTTTACATATTTGAGATCTATTAAATTCTCTATTTTTAATCTAAGATTGTTCACTTATTCTAACATTTATTGGCCTTGATGTTTCACCTAAATAAAACTGATCGCATTCACAAGGTATTTGATAAATACAATTCTTTGTCTTGTTCATTGTTAGATTTAGTTTTGGATAAAATAGATCTTAATGTATTTGTTTTTATAATGTTGAAATGTTGAATTTATGTCCTATATTTTTAAGTTTTTCTGATAATCCTTTTATGCATGGTATTGTTATTTTCTTTGTAATATTCCTTGTATGTTGTAGGATCTCGTTCCAAGTTTTTTTGTTCTATTCGGTCGATTGTTGAAAATTCCTTATTTATAAACGGCAAAGGGTAATCATTTTTTAATAAAACAGATGTTGACAAATATTTTTCCTTTAAGAACAAATTTTTGTTAGAACAAGTCATTTTGACTCTATCGTATACGGATGTAATGATTCCCTTTTTAATATTGATATTGTGATTTAATTTGTAATTTAGATATCTGTTGGTGTGTGCTGGTTTTCTATACGCCTAAGTCCCATACCTAGTATCGTTCTTAGAGATTAAAACATTTAGGAAAGGTAGCGTGCAATTATATTCCTTTTCCATGGTAAATGTTATTTACTTACAAGTGATGCAACATATGAAATAGCATAACGGGCGCTTGTCAACAAGAAAAAGGTTAATGCGAGTTGATAGTAAAATAAAGGCAAAAGATATTAGCATAGATGGTTACCAACAAATAAGAAATGAAGATGTTAGTTGGGCCAGAAACAACGAACAAAAGCTAAAAGTTTTGCACGACATTGAAAAAGAAAACACATTCCAACTAAACGAGTGAGATGACTTTGAGGAACTGACTGACATTTACCAAGACGAAAAGAAAATTAAATTTGTTACTCCCAAGTTTCAAAAGGGGATAAATAAAAATATTAGTCCTAGAAAAGCGCCTGGATCCGATCTAGTAACAAGAGAAATAGTAAAACCCCTTCCAAAAAAGTTATAATAAAAATTACTCACTTAATAAATGCATCATTCAGACTCCATTCAGCATGGAGACTTAAAATTAATGGTATACTCCATTCCACGAATATACGACTGTTTTAAATTCGTTTTAAGGTATCGACTTAAATGGTCCAATATGCTGCATTGTACAATAGTAAATTCTCCCCATTTTTAAAATACTGTTATGGCAGATATAAACCTTAGTAATATGAAGTCATGATATAAATATAGAGTTGATAGTTTATATAATAGTTGTAATTATTGAGTTTAGTATTGTAAACAAGTTGGTGTTTTAATTAAGGGATTTAAACGAAGTGTAACAATACTTAAGTGATTAAATAGTGTACTTTATTTAGTCAAATATTCAATTACTATTAAAAAAAAACAAAAAAACTTACTTATTCTCTTATTCACCTAATCTCCTAAAACTATTATCAACCATCAGATTCACAGCCATAATCACTGTCGTCGCTATCCTCATTCGGATAGTAAATTATAACAGGATTAACTGCTTCGATGCGACCTTCACAGATCCACCATTCTTTAAATAAGTCTTCACATTTTTTTTACATTTTTCCCCAAATTTCAGGAGTGGCAATATCCAATGCTTTTTGCCATGTTTCCAAGACTGCCTCGTCATTGTAACCCTTGTATCCAATATGGTTATCATAATATGTTTTGCATATCCCCCAAATATATTCAATTGGATTGAATTGGCAATGATAGGGCGGTAGTCTTAACACACGATGTCCAAAGCTATGTATAATTTCGTCTACTATATACATGTTTGGTTGTGCATGAACTTTTAGCTAAAGTTAATAATTGAGGCTTAAAACAGTATTGAGGAAATGTAATATTTTTATTCGTTAACCATTCTTTTATTTTATCTACGGTCCAGGTGTTTGTTGGTTGCTTATTTAAAATTTCCGAATGGTACGCAGCATTATCCAGGACTATAACGGATGGTTCATGTAAACTTGGCAACAGTTTTTCTTTCAACCATTTCACAAACGTCTCCGTCATGATAATCGACTGATTTTGATAAAAACATAAGATCTTCTCCCTCAATAAAACCATGTTTTCCACCTGCATGCACTATAATATATCTCTTTCCCTCGTTATCGATGTGTTTTATGGATTTTATACTCTCGTCCTGCCAAATTCGTTTGATACCGCCTTTAACAAAAATCCATGTTTCGTCTAAATAAACGAAGGAAGAACATTCTTTTTTAAATTTGTTGTAATTTTTAAAAATTCTATTCTTTTGTGAACGACACTGGCTCTTTCACACAAAGCCTTTCTATTGTCTTCCTTTTTGAACTTAAAGCCAATCTGTCTTAAAACTCTCCAGAGACTTGTTCTGGAAATTTCAAATATATTTTGTTGTATAGTCATTGTATAGTCTTTTAGTTTTTGTAGCACTGAATCTAAAGAAACATGTTCTTTCTTTTCGTGCATGTTTGGACTTACAAATTACACGCCAACTAGTGCAAAATTGGCACATAGTAAATGTCAGAATAAATTGTTCCTTTCAAGTTGACAAACACGTTTTTTTCATTCTGTCAAAGTTTTAAATTACTTTATTCAAGTTTATTCAAAAAGAAGTTCATAACCAGCGCAAATATACAGTCCAACCTTCATGGTTTCTTCTAATCCCTTCAGTGCATTTTATATATTGTCTCACGGATTTCAAATTTGCAACCTTCGGGAAGATCTATAGTCTTTGGTTGTCGGCGAGATTTATATTGTGCGACATTTTGTTCACTTTGTCCACTTTTTTTCCTTTTTGCAAAAGCGACTTTAGTTTTGTTTCACTAATACAAAGTGCATCACACACACGTTTATGTACGGACTGAACAGGTCGCAAAGGGTCCCCGTTGGTTTTCTCAGCAGTAAAATAAGAAAGTACATTAAATATAAACTTGTCTACATCTAAAACACGTCT